ACAGGAAAAGTGGTATCAAGGCATCCCTTGCCCCCTGGAATGGAAGGCATCCATCTTCTTCCACTCACCCTACAAAGCTCACTGATACACATTTCACATCAGATGGCTGTAGTGTCTCAGGCTGGTAAGTGTTTAGATGCTGAAGAAGCAGTGGAATTTGAAAAACAAAAAGCCTTAGAAACTGCAATTACCCTTCCCATAACTTCACTGGCTCCAGGATCAGGCAGAGGCAGTGCATTACTCTGCTTCTCCTAACACCACTCTAAGTTTGGCTGTGGAAAAAATTGAACAGGTAACAATTTTAACATGCAGGCAAGTTTGACCTTTGCATCCCAGTCTTTCAAAGAAATAGAGGCTTTGGCCGTCAGGTGCGTGTTCAGACTGCCCAGCTTGTTTCTGAACTGCTAGAAGGTAGTCAGGGCCATTGGTATATCTGGGCACCAACATCTCACTATGTCAACACCTGTCTTAACTACAGTTTCTCAACATTCTCTACCCAAATGCTGCTACTGCACAGGACCAGGAGCACTACAGCAATAGACCTCAGTGCAGCTACTTGCTCTGCTCTGTCCCAGTTTGGGTTGGCTGCAGCTCCCATTATGCATCTGTGTCACCCTTGAGCCAGAAATGACACAAATTCACTCGAAGGCTGATTTGCAGGAGAAGAGCATTTAATAGGAAAAATCTTCTCTTTTATAGACAGATTTGACACATTCTACTTGATTGGCTGATTAACAAAAACATCTTTCTCACAAACAGCCTTGAGAAGAACAGAAAAACAGAGTAGGAAAACACCACTTGCAGTTTGTTTATACTAACAAGTTATCATTGTTTCTACAACTCCCTAAAAAGTCTCACAAGCCCACTGTGAGAAAACAAAGCCCATTTTCTCGCTTTCTGACCAGGCTGCTGCATCCACACATCTGGAGGAGTTTCACTATTCAGATGATTACCATCAAGCTCAGACTTTCATCCTTGCACAATAAGGATCAGTTTGCAATCAAATGTTTTGGAATGCTTTCTGGTCATTTATGACACAAGTAATCTCAGCAACCCCCTTTCAGAATGTTCTAAAAAAGCATTAATGTGTAAGTGTTCTACAAGCATGGTTAGTGATAGGATGTTGAACAGTGAAAACCATTTTCACTTTGATGCAGACTATCCTATTCTGACTTCTGAGCATGTTTGGATAGGTATAACATTTGCATGGGAAACAATACTTAGCAAGAACACAAAACAACAGGCACTGCTAACATTCACCCCGGGTAAAACAACTTTCCCACTGCCCAGTCATATTTCACACTTTGCACACTAAACACTGCTCATTTCACAATATAGCCACTGCACTGAACTCTGCCTCTGGCAAATGTACAACAGGACCTATCCAGAACCATGATGTCTTATGCCAAACAAAACTATTGATTTTTTTTTTTTTTTAGCTAGAATTTTTAAGGTGAAAAAATTGTACTCACTAAACAGCAATTTTCTCAGGAGATGCTGTTTCATCCTCACTTACTTGGGATCTTAGTCTCCTCTGCCATTGCAAACAACTGAGCAGTTTTGACTGGCTACATGGGCTTCTGCGTCACTGGCATGAGTGGTGGAACCACTCATCACAGTTGGGGTAGTTAGGGTCCTGTTTCTTGTACAGGCAACCCAAAATGCAGGTGAAGAAAATGAAGGTTTACCTAATTTCTTTAGAGAAATAACATCTTCCCCCTTTCCCACACTCCAGACTATTTCCATAGTGCTTGAGATTCACTGAAAAATGAATGCTACGAGTAACACTGAAAAACACTTAAGCTTTCAGCCAAAAGACTTTTTCATTTTCAAAAAAATCCACCCAAGTTTTTCGCTGAAAACATACAGATTTTTCAAGCAGTCCTATTTGTTAAAAACCACTAAGGATTGGCTTTCTCTCTGTTACTGGATTTCTTAGTCCTGGCCTACGTACATGGCCTAAAAAAAATCCATACTACTGCTATGGAAAAAAAGTAAGATTGTGTTAACTGAGCATGGTAAGAAGCATTTCAGTTCCCATTAACAAAATTAATTTAATCACAATAAGAACATGAAGAAAACAATTAAGAAGTTGATGAAACTCCCCTTTTGGCCCTGGAAAGTCCATTTCCTCCATTTCTTAATACGTATGAGATGCAGAAGAAATCTTTGCTGGCAGCGCTTCAGTTCAAGATAAAAATTATAATGCTGCAGTGCACAATGGCAAAAGCATTTCACAAAAATTCCTGTTGAGCAATTAGAAAAAAGATGTATTATTCCCCTCAGATCATAAGAGTAGCTTGATTTTTACTTCAAAAAGTAATTCAGAACATTTCAAACAACAGTTATTACACATTTTAAATTAAGCAAGTCTGAATAAGTTGTGACTGAAAATTTGACAGAGCTAATCAAGAAGCTTTCTGGACCACCAATACTATTTAAATGAATTTCCCACTTCTAGGAAAGATTTCAGAGGACTTAGGTGAGGAAAGAACTAATACAGCATCAGTTTTTCAGTAAGTAGGTAGACTGATTTAAATTGACATAGCAGGAAACAGAAAGAAAATAATGGAATAACCCATAATTTTTGATCATTCCAGGACATAGAAAGCAAAACTAATTGAAATTAATAAAGCTTACAAGCAATAGAGCTGGTCAGATAAAACTGACTCCTTATATTGATCAGCTAGAATTCAAAGTTGGTTGAAGACAAAGCCAACACACATGTAGTATTTCTATTACTGATGGGCATTTAAAAGTGCCACATGACAGACTGAAGCCAGATTGGCTTCAGTCAAAATTAACTGTCTGGTATGAAATAAGTTGCAACTATGGTTTCTGAATTGTATACAGACATCCATTAAACACAACCATCTGTTCTTATTTAAAAATTGGTTCTTTATTATTTTATTTTTTCTTTACTATTAAAACTTTATTTAATATTATTTTCAGTAATTGAAATAGAAGATAAAATTACCTTTCAAATCTCATCTAAAGATGAAAAGGTTTCAAAGGAGAGAAGCAGAGAAAACTAATGAATACAACTGGCCACTTCCTGCAACCAGCTTGCTTTGTTTTCTGGCTGCAAACTGCATTCAAAGGAATGTTGAAACATACAGGGGTTCACCAACCACAGAAGCAACAGGCACAGGGATTATTTGTATTTCAACTCTGATGTCACGGCCAAGACTGTTATAAAAATGAGGTAGAGTAGCAGTAGGGAGAGTTGATGCTGTACAATTCTTTCAGCAGTCCTGTTTTGCTATTAGTGTTCCAATTAAAAATGCATTTAAATTATTGTAAAGCATCCAAAGTAGAGTGCCACAAACAGAGGATCCAGAAGACTTGAGTCTATTTACTTATTTTTAAAAAGAAAGCTGAAGAGTGACTTGTTCAGTTTGAAAATGCCTACAGTGAAAACAGCAATGTCACACCAAGCACTTCAGTTTAGCACACAACAGACAAAAGATCTGACAGCTGGATATGGAAAGATGACAAATTCAGGCTCAATGTAAGAGTCATGTGTTTAATAGTAAGTAATTATTCTTTAAACAATTTGGGTGGATTCTTAATTGTAGGAGCTTTCAAATCAATGCAGGATACTTCTAAGAACAGCTTTAGTTCAAACAAGAATTTGAGGAAGTCTTGGAAACTGCTCAGCAAGAGAGCAGACTGAACACATGGTGTTTCCTTCTGCCTTCTGAATCAGATTACACTGGAACTGTTAAATTTTTCTCAAGGAAATACCTCAAAGGAGGTAGATTTAAAAAGGGAAGAGAAATGGGCATGAACATTTTGGACATGTAGGACCATGCAATGCAGTTGGGATTCTATGGCTGCATTACACCACAACCTGAAAGAAGAATCACCTCGGTACAGCAAGTGTGTAAAATTGTGTAGGTAGGGAGGGACTCTACATTTTTGCAATAGAAATTATGAAAATGAAAGCAGGAACAGCATGCTATGTTCAGTCTAGTGGATGCCAGAAATTTTGCATGCCAGATTGCTCAGCTCAAGCCTACAGAGGTACTGTTTCTTTCAGACTGTTTTTATCATGAGAAAAAAAAAAATGACAGATGCAATGCACCTGAAAGAAGAAATTCACCTTTTTGGCCTTGGTGAAATAAAAGTGAAGATGCCTGACATGCTGCAGATAAACTTAACCACATAAAGGAAAAGGTAGTCAGAAGAGACAAAAACCTGAGAATTTCCTGCTTGAATTGTATCCATACTTTGTGAATACAAAGTTTTCAAACACTGAATTTCTAGTTTCAGGAAATAAAATTACTCCAATTGACGACACTCCTTTTTGGATATAAAGCAATGAGATTCAAAGTTGTCTTGTCTAATGTCAAGTAAGAACTTTGAACAGAATCTTTTGTATCTTAACACAAGATTTCATGCCATGAGGCTGCTGGATGTTTTGACCATGACTGCCTAGTTCTCCCTGCTAGTCATGTTTGAACAAAAGAAAGACCATGCAGATGGCCACATTTTGAAGAAATGTGTTTTGGTGAAAAGCTGGTATAGATTTAGTTGGAGAATTTTCTTCAAGAGAAGAGTGTAATATTTTTTACTCCAGTAATTCTTTCAGTAGCCAAGATTCTTACTTCACAATTTCAAACTTCTGCATACCCAGCTGACAGGATTGACACAGCGTAGGAGTTCACCCTGCACAGACGGTGAGCATAATGTACAGTCATCATGGAGACAACAGCTCAGAGATGGAAAAATCCTTCCACGCTGTTCATGACAGATCCATGGCAGTGGTCACCCACGACAATATATTTTTAGAGTTCTGTACAGCCCATTTCTATGCATGCTCCTCCCAGAGACCCTTTAATTCATAGATACTGTTAAAGCTCACATGACTCTCTTCAGAGAGATACAGCATAGTATCACTTTTGTATCTGCACTTTCCCACATGCTGCTGTGGTGCTGTACTTAAAGCATGTTTGGAACCAGGGACTTTGCAGTTCAACAGCACTAAGTAATCCACAAACTTTTCAAGGACATACTTTATTTCATTCATATTTCACAGTCAATTTCTGTAAAGTTTTAGCAAAAAGGTCATGTTCTATAACAGAGGTGTTAGGCTACTGTATTCAGAGCTAGCAACGGGCTTTGAAAGTACAGAAAATACCTACATTCCAACTAGAACAGTAGAATTTCAAAAAGACATAATAAAAGTAATCAAAAATACCAACATTTATTAAAACTTAATACAAAAACCAGTCTGTCTGACCCATCAAGCTACTCCACTTGTAAGTTGTCAACAATAGCTGAAGCTGCAGCAGGCCATCTGACTGATCAGACCAAGACTGTCTTCAGCTAACATGTTAACACCAAATCTTGCTGCTTTGACGATCAAAAGAAACCGTGAGTTCACTGTTTACAGTTTCCATTCAGAGACTAACATTTCTGTTCAAATCTACTGGACCACTTTCAGATCCTGCGCAGAATCTGGACTTATCCTGGTCCTGATGTAGTCAACTAATTTTCCAAATGCATTTCCAAGCTAACCTATTTTATTATATTGCAGCCAAGAAAGGAAAGCCCTTGTTGTTTTAAAGCTTTATCAGGGCTCCCAGGAATAAAGGCAGCTAAGAAAACTGAACAGAATGGTACCTGATAACATATTTATCACCAGAGACCTGCAATATCCTTATTTTTGTATAGATGTTAAGGTTTCCCATTATCCAGGGATATGCTTTCTAAGGAGCCCCAGATTTAAGTATGAGTTCCAGAGTGGATTTTTCTAGTTCAGTAAATACTATTTAAGTCTGGACTGATGCCCAGTAGGAGATTTCTAACCAGCTGCTGAACTTTATTCACAGATTTATTGAAAATATATTTATACAAATTACACCAGCAGAAAGGCCCATTAGCTGTAAGCACACCCACTTCAGCCCAACCTCCATACTGTCAGAGAAAAAGTCCATGCGGTACTATATGGACTATGAGAGATTTCCACCAGCTAAATCTCCCTAAGTCAGAGGGTACTGCCCTGCAAAGCAAGTTTTTCATTCCTTTTTACTCTATTAGAGCATTGGAAATAGAATGGAGAAGGTCACTGGTAGACTCATTTTTCCTGGTCTCAAGCTACGATTGGACTTCACTTTTTCTGCCTCTTTCATCTCTAGGTACCCTGAGCCCATCATCTTGTTTTCTAGGGCAATCGCTTCCTAAAAATACATACTCTGAACTTCAAATTCTCCTCTCTATTCAATTTCTCTAAATAAAAAAATAAGGAAGGAGATGGGAGAAGGACTTAATTTCACCTCACACCAACTCCTTTCACCTACTTGGAACTGATGATGGCCCAACAGTGGGGCCTGTTCTGTTGCTGCACTCTCAGAACCAACTATATGAAGATGGGAATAAGAAGATGCTTGCAGAATACTGCAAATGACTGTCTTCACTTCAAGAATGGGAACATGCTAGCAGAGCATATACAAACTTCTTCAGACCAAGGAATTACACAGAATTAGCATGAAATTCAAGGTCACACTGCAGTACTAAGTACCCATTCTGCCTGGAACCCACCATGCTATTCCAGTCCCACAGCTGGCTCTGAAGACAAACTGTTAATGGCAATGCAACTTTACAAATCTTGGAATCAAAAAATGCTCAAGTAGAAGTCTGAGACAGGAAAAAGGAGGCACAGAAATAACTTGACCAACAGCTCTGCACATTTTTACTACATGTTGGGATAAGTGGGGTCTTCGAGGTTGCTATCAGCTTTATCAGATCCTGTTAGGGATGCTTCTAGCTCTGCCCATGACTGTGGAGCATTGCTCTTTATTGCCTCTATGAAAAGCTGTGTTTGGTGCTTCAGCTGGTCCAGCTCAGCCTGCGTGACCTGGTTCTGATGAATGAGCTCCTTGGTTTTTAAAGTGATCTCCAGCAATCCCGACCTGCGCAGCACAACAAGTGTATTCTGAAAGCGTCTGCACTTGCTTTGCTGCTGCAAGAGCAGCTCAGGGGTAGTGCAAATCTCTTCTGGTGTCAACGGAGGGCTCCACACTGCAGAAGGCATTGTAGTCTGTGACGCATTCTCGCTCTCATGAAGGGCGCACTTTGCTGCCTGCAGAGTTCCAAAAGGCAAAAGGGGAGTCAAACCTGGCGCTTTCTGAGCATCACTGGAAACATGATGAAAACCAGGAAGAGCTGACAGTTTTCCACTTGTCACCAGAGCTGAAGGACTTTGCTGGCTAGAATCCTGAGGGGTCTTAAAGCTAACTGGTAGGTGGGAAAAAGAACTAGTAGGCAAGCCTGTGCTCATCAGTCCAGGAGAAGTCTCAATCTTGGGTGCTTCTGTGCAGAGTCGTTTATGGCAAGCGGTTTCCTGACATTCTTCTTGATCAAAGGAGTGATCTCTTTTGCAGGGCTGTGGTGCTATTTTGGGATAAGAATTCAGGATGGGCAGGTAATTAGTGGAGTCATTTCTCTTTTTCCCAACAGGGTGAGGATTAATGGGAGGTGGGATTGATGGACGAAGAAACACTAGCTGTGGCTGAGCTGGAATCACTTCAAAGGATGGCTGCACAGTCCAAGACTGGAGCTCTGATGAACTCCCCTGAGAAGCACAAACAGGGAAAAACCACAAGTCTTACAAAAGTGTCATAGAAGACCATAAAAACAAATTCAAATGAAACAGGTAGACTGTGCCATTTTTCTACATTTAATATATACTGTCCAATTAATGTGTTCTGAAGAGTTTTCCATCAAACTCATCCTTCTCTTTCTCTGACAATGGAGTGTAACGCTGGAAATAAAGCTGTAATCCATAATCCTTTTACTATGCAACAGCAGTTATATTTAAAAACAATTCAATCTGAATTTATATATGCTTTCCTAAGTGAGGATTAAGTGCAAGCTTATATTGTAAAATGTTCATTAAAAAGTTCGACCCAGACTTGGGGTCAAACTACAAGTGCACAGGAAAGCTGGAAAATAATTAAGCTTTCTATTATGAAACATCTTAAGAGTCAAGGAAAGATTGCACAGACATTTTAGGAACAATTCAGGCTCCCTCTTTGTTGAAAGGTAGCAACCCATATCTTCTCAAATGTATCCTTATAGTGAGATTTTGAAGTGGTTATTTAAGATACACAACAGCTGTTCAGGAAGTCTTGTAATTTGAAGTACAATACACAGTTTCAGTAAATGTAAAACTATGAAACAGAAAAAAAAAGGGTGAATATCAACCGATGCAAGGAGAAAAGCCTGTGGTAAACCCAGAGGAGTTTAACTTTGTACCTCTGGGGAAACAGTGTGCACTGATAAACCTTAAAAGCATTTTATTTCAAGAACAACGCCCAAGGCTTTATTCCCTCCCACAAGCCATACTCTGGAATATAGGGGAAAACATCAATTTTTACAAGACATTACCTCTTTTTCCTCCAACACCTTACTACAGATCTTCATGAGATTTTCTGGCCAAAAACATGATTGCTTTTCTCCAAAGACATGGAGAAATGGTCTACTAAGGGACACTATTTCTTTCTGACGCAAAATCTCACTTCTTAATATATTTAAGCCATCACCGCTACAATTATACTAATATATTGTCAGCTGCTTTTCCAATTCCTTACAACTTGGAACACAACTGGCAGGCCTGCTGAAGGCACAGTTTTTAGCTACCACAAACATATATTATTTTTTTTCGTCTATATTAAGTCATCTGAAATCCATATCCTTTCCACCAGTCTCATAAGTTTTAAACTGGCAAACGCTAACATGCTTTGCTAAAGTCCATTCCCCCAGTAAAGGACTTGGAACTTACCAAAAGCAGGTATTACCCACTGATTAGGACACTGAGACTTGGAGATAAGATTCAATTACCTACTCTGACACAATGTAGCTTTGGTTCAGTGGGCAAGATGCTTATGGAATAGGGGTACAGAACAGCTACCTGTAAAAATAAATATTACTACCTTAACACAGAAGAAAGAACATTCAAAAGAAAAGTAACTGGAGATGTAAGGAGTGAGGAAGCATATAAATACTGTAGCTATACAAACACAGGATAGAACATGTAGCCTTAAGAAGGTTTGGAGGGTTTGGAGCCAGAAGTAGCCATTCACTGCACTGCTGAACTGCACCTAGCACGGCAGTGCCCCATAATCACTGAAGCTGAAAGAGCTGTGGTAACTGTTTATCCTGCTCTTGGGTTTCTTCCTATCTCTGTTCTTTCTTTTCCTTCTCATGTAGCACTCCGCTCTAGCTCTCCTACTCAAAATCTCGTTTTGAGTAGAGAAGGCCTCTTTGATTTTACTAACTCTACAAATTGTGTGTTTTGCTGCATTTTTTAAATGAAAGTTAACTTTTTGATCACTTGCCTAAAAAGCCTTCCCACTTATTAAAGACTTTCACAAGACTTACAAAAACCTTACCACAATCAGCACTGGCATTAATCGCCACTTGATATTTTTTACCAGCATTACTGTTAGCTCTTTACATTCTGAAATTGGGCCAGCAGGTAACCACCACTGTAGAGGATCACACTGGTTCCAAGACAGAAGGATGATGCTGATGGAAACTGAAACTGGAAGAAATAATCAGCACTAACTGAATGCTGCTATTTTTTTTTTTTTTGGTCCAGCAAGCCCAACTGAGCACTGTGTCGAAAAGGCCATTTTAAAAAGATGACCATCTGAGCTAACTAGGCATAATGAAAAAAGGCAGAAAGACATTTCATTATTATTCTGACCTAGACTTGTTGCTTTCCTTTATTGTAGTAAACATTTTTCAATTTTATATTATTGTCTTTAATCATACCTAGTTAGATATTATGATGCACTGCTCAAGAGAAACAAGTGTGGACATTTTATCCATGTCCAACTCTTTGCTGCTAAATTTCCTTTCTCCTACACTACCAGGGGTTTATATATATATATGTGTGTGTGTGTGTGTGTATGTGGTTGAATTTTTTTATATCTCTCTATATATCAGCTACTTATTATTAGTTGCTGCTTCTTCTTATTTGCAACACATCTTGGAATTTAACACTGGAATCAGTGCAGGAATTGTCTCAACTTTTGTGCTCTGGGCCGAGGGCTATCAGCCTTTGGTGAAGCCTGCCTATTCCTGACTTTACATATAAAAACTTCAGCATTTGTTTACACAGTATTTTGTCCACACATCTAGGAATGTGACTATAAAATAAAATTGTCTCTTGTCAAGATACAGCACAACGCTCAGAGAGGAGAATCACCTCCCCCACAACTACATAATCTGCTAAATACTAAAAGGGAATATTAGGTCTTGTTTGCTGTCATAACAGGTTCAGTAGAAAAAGAATCCAGATTTATATTCTTTTTTCCCCTTCCCACTGTATTCTCAGAAGTATTCTAGTAAAAAAACATTGAAGAACTTTTGCTCTGCTCCAAAAATGAGTGAGTACAGAGCAGCAGGTCTAATAATACGACCATACTTTGGACTTCTCATACCTTCTGTTAAAGTGTTTCACGGAGGTCTCAGATGTGCTGGAGGAACTACACATTACAAGAATACTGGAGAACATAAATAGGGACTGTAATTGTTGCAAGGTAAGCCATCACATGCAATTAAGCAAAACAACTATTGAAGTAGAAGTACCACAGCTAACTTCAGCCAAGGATTTAACTTCCTCGTTTATAACGTTCTGGATTGGTGTTTCCCATTGAAACACTTCTAGAACCTAAGAATGAGGAAACAAACTATCATCCTACTTCACCATCTTTTTTGATTAAAAAAAGAAGAGCAGCTTTCAAAAGCAAGTCACCCTTTTTGTTTAATGTTGGGTGCTATTCACATAACGTTCTTGAAGATATGTTTGGGGGAGGATTCCTTTGAGACAAAGAGGTTTAGGAGATGGAGCAGAGTTTCTGTATTTCACATTTCATCTTAGTGATTCCAGCTGCCTCTCAAAAGAACAGAGAATCACACTAGAACTTCTTAAATTACTAGGCTTTTTTTCTGGACTGCAACAACATTGCAAAATCTTTTTTGAAAGGAAAAATGTTTTTTAAAAAATTGAAGAACATGCAATATTTTTCAAGATATTATTTCTTCCCTACCTGCTTAACCAACACATTTTTCATAACAACCATAGAAGACAGTGCAGGAAAGGAGCTGCTTGTGGTCCTTGGGCATTGCCAAGGCCCATCCTCTGCATTCCAACACAGCGCATTCAGCACATCCTCGGAGTCCGTCTGCTCCATAGCACTTGGGCATTCTGAACTTCCATCTGCCAGATGCAGAATTCAGCTGTAAGTTGTTCCACATGCAACATGCTTACTACTGTATTTCAGTTCCAATATTCTGCCTCCTTCATTCAAGTCACAAAGAACAATAAAGTTTAGTTCTGTAATATCAACAAAATTAAAGCTGCTGTGACAGCTGTCAGACAGCCACTAATCAAAAGGCTTTGTATTTCAGGTCAGTTCTTATAAAGACATTTTCTCCCACAAAAATCTATTACTTTCTTTTCTCTCATACTTAGTGTCCAAGGGACTGTATAGTATCATGAAGGTTGCATTATTCTAAAAACTGATACAGCAAAGCACTACAGATTCCAGCATTGCCACATCCATGTTTTGCGATGCAGGCATTTTGCGTCTTGACATTTTCTATCTAAAACCCAGCGAAGCAGATATCTTTCATAGAAGTGCTTTTTTTCTTGTTTAAAGGTCATTTTTGCACAGTTTTGTTGAGTACCAAAATGGCACACCATGACTACTATTTTACTGATGTTATAACCACCACCCTCTAGTTTATCAGGCTCTACTGACAATGTGGTCAGCTCATAAGAGACACTGGGCAGCATAATCCAATCATTAATTAATCCAATTTTTAATTTTAAAATAATTTTGACATCCCCACTTCTAGACTCTAAAGTCTAAGATTATTTCATTAATTCTAAATTCCCATGCCATTCAAATTCACAGGATGACCTCTGTAATTTGGTAATGTTTCATTTCAAAAAACTTTGGTGGTAAGATGATCACTGGTGAAACCAATCTTGCATAGAAAGGCCCTCCAAGGTAATGAGACACAAACTGGAAGGGGTTACTCAGATTTGCTGAACGTCACCAATTAAAGCACAGCCTCAGCATGGTAACACACAAAAAAGGTAACACAGTGTTTTTCTAAACCTGAATATCCCGAGTCTTTGTCAGATTCAGCTGCCGCCATACTGAAGCGATGGTTGAAGCGATGGTTGAAGCTCTTCATTTCTGTCACTCTGCCCAACAATTCCTCACGGGTGTCAGTAGATGTCTATTTTGTCTGAGTGTTTCCATAGTGCCGTGGGCAGCTTTTAGCACCTTTTCCATTGAGGCACTACAACAACAGTTAAGAACAAAAAGGACCGAAACAAAGTTCCATCAGTATAAGACAACAACGGAGGATAGCTGCAGATCTCCCTTTATCCTGACAGTGATCTAACTGCAGACTTTAAGAAATATCTCAAAATGCTGAAAGAATGAAATTCACATCAAAAGCTAATGTATTGGACGTGTCTTTCCATCCCAAAAAGGTAAAACAAACTAAAAATTAAAGGCTATTCATAACAACATTTATTTCAAGAACTGGAATTACTCAGGGCATTATTTATCTTACGAAAGCTTTGTTGTCCCAAGGGCTGAATTGCAAAATAAGACAGTTGTGCTGGGTGAAGCTCTTACAACAAATACAGCTGAACCTGCAAAGCTGTGGTTTTGCTAACAGTTTTGTTTCATTCTCAAGAGTAGAGTAAGTCATCAGAGAAAAGAATGAGTGATCAGTGAACACACAGGGGGCTAAAGAAATCTGCTGCTGAAAGAGCAACACACTGCAATACACTCCTAGGGGAGAAAGAGTTTTAGAAATGCCCACACCCAGAATGAAAACACTGAAAAGCTGAAACTAAAAGCTATGAAAATCAGAAAAATGTAATAACATTATGGCCTCCCACACTACACAACCTTCAGCTGCTTTCTGAAGGTAGGCAGCATTCAGTAAGACTAAGTTTCTACTTCTCTTAAAGAAGGCAGTTGAGAAATTGGCTAACAGAAAACTGACAGAATTAAGTGCAGAAATTATTTTCCTATAAAGCAACCCACTGAAGTTATGTCTCATTGTTAAGTTTTATATTTGAATTACAACAATGGGAACTCAGGAGTCTGCATCGTAGTCAGGCCAGCAGTCCATCAGCAGCACTATGCAGTACAGGCTGCTTCAAATGACACTGCAACAGACATTCTGAAATAATCTACCCCAAAATGCAAGTTTCTTCTTCAGGTCCTACCAACATTTTTAGAAGTGTGCTCCAAAATACTGAATCTTAGCACCAGTATTGAGTTCTGAAATAGGAATATGACTATTACAAGAATGATGGAATTATGGTCAGCAGAAGAAAATTTCCTCAAGTAGCTGCTTGCATCACTTTTACTTTCCATCTTCAGTCACACCTCCCTGCCTGGCTCCTAACAGGTATGGATCAAACATGGTTACACAAGCACAACCTAGATGCTATCCTTGCAGTGGAAGAAGTGGTTTAAGTCCTGATCCATGCTTTCATCACTTAACCCTTTCCAAAAGAAATGTATTTTTTAAGAAAGTGATAAGCAGAAATGCTAATTAAAATAAACCCCCAAAACCCCAAAAAATCAAAACCATCTCAAACCAAAACAAGAAACAGAAAGAGGCTAGAAATAAAGTAAGAACACCTCATCTGCCAGCTTTGCATCAAGTGAAGCTTTGGGAAGGGTTGACACATCATCTTCTCTCACAGAAAAAGGCAAAACACCACAACCACAACCGAAAATAAACAAACCAGAAGTGCCACACCCCCGAGGCACGGGCGTGAGAAACCAGCTCATGCCCGGGCCAGCGCCGGGCCCGGCGGGCAGGACCTCCGCCGCGCACCGCCTTTACAACCGGGCGCCCACACCGTCGTCCAGGGCCGTCCCTCCCGCTGATCCCACCCAACCGCCTCCCGGGCCCACACGCCAGGCTCCTGCGGCACGAGGAGAGCTCGCGCAGGCGGGCCGAGCCACTCGGTTGCCGGTCCCGAGCCACCGCCCCGCCACACGGCGAGGCGCACCAGGTACAGCACAGTCCCGGGGCCCCAGGGCCGCCACCGCTCGCTCACGGCCGCGACCACCGCCTCCCGCCGGGCCGGGCCGGGCCGCGCCTCACCTGGGCGCGGGGCCGCCACAGCTCGGCGGCGCTGCGCATGCGCCGCACCCGCCCCGGCCGCGCCCCGCCCTCACGGCCGCCGAGGGGGAGCGCGGCCGCCGCGGACTGAGCGCGCATGCGCAGAGCCGGCCGGCGAGGGGGGCGGCTGTGAGGCCGTTCGGTGCCGCGCCCGGGCCCGTGAGGGAGCCGGGCAGGGTGAGCGGAGGCAGGAGCTTGCCATGCTGCTGGGCCTCCCGAATGCTGTACAAAAAAGTACGATTCTTCCTCACGTAGGAAGTTAGGCTTTTGTGCAGCCTCTCTCAGTCCATGAATGAGAGAGGAGATATGAAGAAAGCATCAGAGAGGTCTCAAACTTGTCTCAGTGAGGGAAAACAGGGCAAAAAAGGGAACCACAGAATCAATTAGGTTGAAAAAGACCTCGGGTCATCGAGTCCAACCTATGACTTAACACCACCATGTCAACTAGACCAAGTGCTACATCCAGTCTTTTCCTAGACACTTTCAGAGACAGTGACTCCATCACCTCCTCAGGCATCGTGTTCTATTGTCTAATACTCCTTTTTGTGAAGAAATTCCTTCTCATCTCCAACCTGATCCTCCTCTGGCACAGCTTGAGGCTGTCCTCTTGTCCTGTCTCTGGCTGCTGGGAGAGGAGGCCAAACGCCGCATGGCTACAGCCTCCTTTCAGCCTCCTGGTGGGAGTGATAAGGTCCCCCCGAGTCTCCTTTTTTTTTTCTGGGCTGAACACCCCCTTCTGCTCCTCACAGAACTTGTGCTCTAGATCCTTTACCTCCTTCATCACCCTTCTCCTGACTCACTCCAGCACCTCAGTGTCCTTTCCTGAAGGGAGGGACACAGAATTGGACACAGAACTCAAGGTATGGTTTCACCAGTGCAGATACAGGGGAAGAATCACTTTTTTCTGTCATGAGTGAAAACAAAAAAAAAAAAACCAACCAGCTTTTACATGGTTGGGAAGTGTAAAATACATGGATTTGGTTTACATGGACTGCATATAAACCACGGGCAAATAAACAGGAGGAAGTGAGTCCCTGGTTCAATGAAAAAACTGCAGTAGCTGTTCTTGTTCTGAGAACTGCATAAATGTTACCAGCACCCAGAAATCTGTCAGAATATTTTGCATTTGGACATGAAAGCCGTTTCATTAGAGAAAACTGAAAAGGTTGTGTAGAAGACCTGAGCAAATGCAAAATTAATTCCTTAAATAGAAATGGAAAGAAACACTTTCATTGTTGTGATGGTCTTGTTGAAGAACCTGAAATATGCTGATTAAAGAGGTCAACAAGTTCTAAGAAATTCTTGGATGAAAAAGAGAAGGACCTTTAATCTCAGAATAGTCTCATGAACAACTTGCCAAATGCAACACAAAAATGTCTGAGGTTACATGAAATGATACTGTCATTTTAAAAAAATGTGGCATTGTTGGGTTCCAGTCCTACCAATCTGAAATGCTGTGAGAGAACACTAGTGACTCTTATTCTTGGGATGTATTTTTGAGCACTTAAATGCAGAGCTGGCTCTGATTACATCTAAGCTGTAGTGTGAGATGTGTGATCTAGACTCTGGATTTGGATCCCTTACTGTTCAGGAGTTTTGAGTTCCGAGGAGAAGCATGCTAAGAATGCTGTTGTATCATCTTATTTGTACAGGCATGGTCCTGGGTTGCCTTGTACCCAGAAAAAGTCCTTACTGTCCTCCCCAGAGGCCGGATGTCTCAGGATATGGAGTATGTGTGGGTGCTCAGTGAAAACAGCTCACCAGAGAACAAGTAGCCTGTGTTTGGGACAGACAGCCTGCTGTTCAGTTCAGGTGATTCAGAACAGATTTGGAATATGTGATACCAGGCCTTCCTCCAAGGGGCAGCAGGTAGGATAACTGAAACACTGCGCTGTTTAATAGAGAAGTTTTCTTGGATAGTCAAGGTAAACCTCTATTCTAAATAAATGAAATCACCTGAATTGTCCATGAATTAAGTTGACTTAAACCTTACGTTTATATTGAACATCATCTAAATTCTTCCTCCTCCAAATACGCTCTTTTTGTAGTTTAAATAATATTTCTGTCATTGCCCCTTCTCTCCCTTTTAATTTCATTTGATTCTTTGGTCTCATTTACTGTGTGAGTTCAGTGATTACAGTCAGTGGCAACAGGATGTTTTCCTTTTTCCTTATGTTATACAGTGGTTGATTTGTTTATCCTAAAGGTGAGTGTTTTGACAAATAAGAATTAACTTTTTGTTCACTTCCCTGTTTATTCTGGTCATACAACAGGAAAAGAGTGAAAAGATTGTGAGTGAAGTATGACTGCATGTTTATTCAGTGTAGGTGTTTCAACACTTATTAAAAAAAGGTGTTGAATATCTTCTTTCAGGAGAAGATGCAGAAATCATCTTTCATGGCTTAAGAGTGACAAAGGCAACTTTTTATCTAATTAGGTGGTTAAATAATGTGTGCTTACTGAACAATTAATAAAGGTGTTGATACATCAACTTCATAAATGCTTGTGGGACAAAGAATCTTTTGTGCTAACACAGTGGTAGAAAGAAATGTTTGGCAAACTTTGGAAGTAAAGCACAGCGAGGTCAGAAGAATGTAGTCTCATATTACACTGAACTGGAAAGGTTAGGTCTGAAAACACCATGTACTCAATCTTTTTTCTTCATATACTCACTGCTTTGTTTTGCTATCACAGACAAAATACAATTTAGCAAGTACTATATTGTATTAAGTTAGTTTGCAAATAAATAGCTTTATTCATCTCACTTCATTGAACTAGTCTAATTTTTATGATATTTTAATACAGGTATCTTTGCTCCTTCTGTTATTCACTTTTGTAATTTTAATACATAAATAGAAGAATAATGTTTAAATTATGCCTCATAAGTTTTCATTAGTCTCAACAAAAGAATTAATTCATGCAGATAAAGTGTGTATTTGGACGTTGTAACAATATTACAACTCAAAATCTATTTGAAAAGACATTCCACATATATATTTTGTTAATGATTAATATCTTATTTAATAAATATCAAAGCAGGAAACATTGTGTGGTCATGTGCTCTGACCTGCAGTCTGTCACAGATCATAGAATTTCACCCAGAAGTTGACTTAACAAGATATTTCTCTAAATAAAGTACTTTAGTAATGGCTCCTTTTCTTCTAAATTTCAACTTTAGGTATGTATTCTTTTCAAAGTACACATCTTTCATATTGTTATATCCATCTGCAACTTCATCTTTACCATAAATGTATCCAATTTAAGACCAGGTAGAATGAAGGTAATTTAAAAATAACAAATGATTAACAGAGATGGCATATCAAGAATAAAGCACTTTTGATGCTCTTATGCTCTTCTATACTGTTTTATGTTGGAGGAGAACAAAGGTGGATTTAATATTCGCTTTGCAACTTCTAGACCTTTGGGCCAACAGGATTTGGGGAAGTGGTGCAAAAGAGCAGCCCCAGTGGCTGCTTTTAACCCTTGCAGCATCAGAGCATTGCAGCAGTCCAGAGTGCTCTGGAGAGCAGCAAGCCCTTTTGTGTTCCCTCACCTCCCCAGCACTGTCATCCTCTCGTCTACTCTTCAATACATTGTGTGGAAAGCTACAAGGTGTAGAAGGATACCTTTACTTAATCAGTGCAATGCTGTCAGGGAGATCTCCTCATTATAATGTTTGTTTTATTTCTGGTGGAAGAATCTACAGGCTTTAAACTGTTGTCATGGAAGAGCTACTATTTGCTCCAAAGCTGGCTAGATGTCATGTTTTCCTGGAGTTCAAAAATGATTTGGGTTTGTATTTCAGATGTTGGTGGTGGTTTGGGGAGGTTTGTTTTTTGGGGGTTTTTTTTTGGTAAGTGTTGAGTTTGCTAAGACCATCTCTACAGACTCTTTAATATGGGTTGTAGCTTGTCCAGTGTCTTCATTTTTCTAGTTGTACCTTAATTTTGTGAACCTGAGAATTGAGATAAGCATCTTCACATTCTGCATGGCTTCTGTCTGCCTGCGTTACTTGTAACAACCACTGGGTGTCGTGAGTCTCTTTGGATTACCGGACATCGAGAAGGACAGATTTAGTCCAATCAAGGTCTGCCTATAGACTTTTTTTTTTTCCGAGTGAAAAGGCCTTCGTCTAGTTTACATAGGATCACAATAAGGAGTCCCAAATCTTACTTTAAAATAATGCTATTTGTTTAGGTAAATGTGTGATTCTTAGGGCTGTCCTGTGCAGGGACAGTGGCTGGACTTTGATGATCCTCGTGGTGTCCTACCAACTCAGAATATTCTGTGAGTCTATGATTCTTTATTTATGTACCAAGAACAACTAATACAAGATAGGGATACTACAAACTACATCCTAATTCTCTACATGTTTTATTCCCATTCGCATTTAGTCATTCAACTGAATGACACCTTGTTTGGCAGAAAAACACTAAGATGTCAGTAGGTAATTAAAGAAATCCTGATATCATAAATGTATAACATAGGAGAACCAAGGATGAATTGGCAATCTCAAGTCAGTTTTTCCTAATTTTTGGGAACTATATTTGGCACAGCTGAGTTTATGATTTTGGTAAAGACTTTGGCCTGTTATTTTCATCATTTTTGCAAGCAAATGAAAAGGCACGAATTTGTAACTTTATATACAAGGATAAAAAATGCACTTCATGCAGAAGAGAACTTGAATGTTGAACCTTCGGTACAGACCTGTGCTGCAGAGGATTAAAGACCGACCATATTAGTTGCACATAGAAGGATTACGTTTCCTACAGACTAGTCAGTAGGAGATCATATGATGTGGTAACATTGATCCAGCCCTGTGCTGTGCCTCACAGTATGGACAGATGAGCCGGGCATATAGACTGGACGGAGGCTTTCTGAGAAGCTCAGATGCCGCTGTGACTCAGTTGCTTTCCCTGTGGGCTTGTTATGTTAGATGCCTGAGCTAATCTGGTGTGTGGGGGTTCTCTTAGTAGTGGTTGAAGCTTTGCCTAACAGTACGATTGT